TTTATCCAAATACGGAATATCAGATTACTTCATTCTTTTGGCATCCTGGTGCCTGCATTCAGTGTTTTACAAGTCGCTTTCTGTCTCTAAATTAACTTTCTCGTTGGTAGCGCTGTCCAGAATGAGAAAAATAATAAAAAATAAGAGACTTGTGGCAAGTCTACAGTTAGCGGTGCCCTGCCTTTACCGCTTGGCCACTTGACTCTTTAGCTGTTAGGTGGTGAAAATTTTAATTATGGGGCAGCGGGAGGAAAAACTGAGAAGGTAAATTGTGATTGTACATGTGCAATGTAACATGTGCTGTACCATATTTTACGGAGAATCTTGGCATTCCTAAACTTCAACCTGAAATAACCTCGTTTCTTATATTTATTTAGAGTTTTAACCAATGTTCAACCAACCACCATTAATTTTCTACAACTACAACGCTGTAGAGGGTATATCTTATGGTTAATTGAGCAATCCTACAGTACTCTTAAAGAATATGGTCATCAGCATTCATTATCAGTCTTGTTGTATCACAAAACTGGTTTAAATGTAAGAAAGATGTTGCGCGATCAGTAGCATATCTACTGTAGTGTACATTGTCCAAACCACTGTGCAAATAGAACATAAATACAAGGTAGGCGTTTTATTTCAAACAAATATATGAAGCGCCAATGCAGTTGCGGAGTTGCGAAGATGCGAAATCTAATACAGTACACTGCAAGCCCGGAGCTTATATCATAAGTTTGTTAATCCGTTTATCATACGTTTTTTTTCGTTTTTGTTTTTTTTATTTTGTTATCTTTCTACTAACAACATATTTAACAAGAGTGACCGTTTACCGGTCTGCATGTTCCTCCACACTTAAATACAGTACAGGTGCAAGTTATTATATTTGGTTTTTTGGAAGAGCTAATAAGATAGAAATTTTTAAATAATTAAGACTGTTTATTTGTACAAAACAAATATTATTTAGAATGTTCATTTGTACAAAATTAAAATCTCTTAAGATTGAAAACAATAAAATTTCTTAAAATTGGAAAAACAAACAAATTGAATACCAAGACAGGATTCCAATTCACAACCTTAAGTTCTTTGGAACACATCCAATAGCTAACCCAGCCAGCCATGCGGCATGCCCTAATTAGTGGTAATGGCAGTTATATACAGTCCTTTACTGTTTACTTTTGTTTTGTAAGTGTAGGGGTAACCCTGGGATCCAACTTAAAAAAAAGGGCGATGAACGTTTGTTGGAAATCACCTCTAGTTTATGCGTACAAAATGACTGACTGGAAGCTTTTAAAGGAACACGTACAGCAGTAAGGCTCTGGGGTCAGACCCAACAAAATGAATACTAAAATTGGTATGTATGTGTATGTTCTTCTTTTTGTTGCTTTTTCCTACAGTATACTAACAGTGGACTAATGTGAAGAAGGGATGACCACACACAGATCTATATAAATCCGTTACCAACCAATCGACAAAACGCCAAAAGACTGGTAGTCTTTCAGCTAAATATGACAGTAGCAGATTAAAAATAAAAACTTTACCATAGACTTGTTTTTATTATGAGTAGACCAGAGGGGTGCAGGTCAACTCGGCCACAAGTCAACTCGGCCACAAGTCAACTCGGCCACAAGTCAACTCGGCCACAAGTCAACTCGGCCACAAAAAGTTCGGCTACAGCCAACTCGGCCACAAGTCAACTCAGCCACAAGTCAACTCGGCCACAAATCAACTCGGCCACAAGTCAACTCGGCCACAAGTTATTTAATGTAAATCTAAGTTTTTGCATCCTTTTTCTTCAATATATGATTGAAATAAAGTACACAGTATGTTTTAGTAAAACAGGACCACCACACTACCAAAAGAGATTTGAATGCTATTGTCTATGAATTAAAAAGAGTTATTTATTAATGTGTTCGTCTTCTACTTCAACAATAATATTAAACAACAATAAATTAGTAATATTTACATTAATAATACTAATTAGTCATTATGACGATAATAAAGGTGATAATAACAACAACAACATTAATAGTAATATTTATTTTAACAAATAGTAATAATACTAGGATGGTAATAACAACGATATTTAAATATCAATTTTAATAACTAATTAGTGATAATAACGATATTGAAGGTGATAATAACAATAATACAACAATAATAAATTAAAGATAATGTTTATTTTTATAATAATAGTAATACTAATTAGTGATAATAATAATAATGATACTTATAATACTAGGCCTACTTAGTAATAATAGGGTAATAATATCGATAATAAAGGTGACAACAACAACAATATTAATAATAATAATAATATGAGAGAAATACTAATAAAACGCCAATAACAACAACTTTTTAAATTACTATTATTAAAATTATAATACTAAGACTAATAAATAATAATAATATGAATAATATGAATAATAATAATAAAAAATCGAAAATTATGTATTATTTATATGGTACTCTAATAATAATATCAGCAAAAATTTGAACAATATATAATGTTAATGCTAAGACTAATAATTAATATTAAAACTAACGGTAATAAAAACAACAATAATAATAACAATAATGACAACAATAATAACAGCAATAATAATATCAATTTAGTACAATGTAGTACCAGTAAATGACTTGTGGCCGAGTTGACTTGTGGCCGAGTTGATTTGTGGCCGAGATGACTTGTGGCCGAGTTGACTTGTGGCCGAGTTGACTGCAGCCAAACATTTTGTGGCCGAGTTGACTTGTGGCCGAGTTAACTTGTGGCCGAGTTGACTTGTGGCCGAGTTGACTGTGGCCGAGTTGACTTGTGGCCGAGTTGGATCGAATTCGACCAGAGATTTTACTGGTATGGACGCCCGAGCAGGTAACAGTATTTGGTTAGGCGTAAACGATGAGAAGCAAACATAAGAATCAAGGTCAATATGATAGAAAAAAAAATATCTACTAGTTTTACTTCGTGGAAAAATTGTCCAATTCAGGAAAACGCTACTTCGCACACAGTTACACTTGCCTAAAGAAAGGAAGACATGACAAGTTCAATTAGGCTACTGTACCAGTCTCCGACAACAATGTCTGCCAACCCTGCAAAATATTTTGGCGACTTTAACTTGGTTGCAATCGATAGATTGAAACCATACGTATGTTTTTTAAACCTGTTGTGTACTTTTTATGTAAAATTTTAATGTACATTATTTTAATGTCACTTTTGTCTCCACTTTTCATGTCTAGTGCTTGTGTTTGATTGATGTTTTGATGTTATAATATCAGCCTACATTTTTTGTAAATATATAATTCAGATTTGGCTGTGATTATGATTTGATTAAAAAAAAAGTTAAACTAGAATTAATGGTTACAGAACCCCATTAAATACGGCCTCAAAATACTACTTTGTCAAAGCTTCTTGGCCATTGAACCCTAAACAGCCTCAGGCTACATACGGGCCTGTAAACAACAACAAAATTAATTAATTGAAATTACAGTAAGTGGTGGCACCAGTTGCAGAGGCAGATTCCCGTCAGAGTGACTATCAAAGGAGAACTCAAAACATTCGTTATTAAAAAATAATTATATGTAATTTTTACAGAATATATGAGGCTGTAAAATCGATTACAGACCTTAAGCATTCAAAATCACTAAATGGTTTCGGTGTATTTGCCCCCTGGACACATTTAAGAGATTCTGAATCATCGCTCCTCCCCTGCCATTGGCCAAATTTTTTTGTGATGGTTTTAACACAAGCAAGAAATAAAAGATCATCAATAAGCAAGAAATAGTGGAAAATTTAAAGTGTCTCAATTATTTTCGCAAAATATCACATCAATGTTATGGTGCAAAAATCGTATTTGTGCTGTACAGTAGTACAAGTAAGAATAGAATAGAATTGAAATTGCGGCCACAACAGGGGGCTTCGGCCACAGCATCTCAGAATTTTACCTTAGGTCCATAAAGTATGACATGTTGCTTGAAAGATTTTCTTTGAACATCAAATCTAAAAATAACTTGGCCCTTCAAATAAATTAATTAAGAACAAGGGTAGTATACTAATTGACCTAGTTTAAAGTCAGTTAATTTATGTTGTGTTTCCTTTTTTTCTAGTTCATTCATCTACTGTACATTTCCAAAGAAGCAAAATAAGTATAATGTGGAAACGCGACAAAAAGAGCTTACATATCAAATTCCGTTTTCATTATGATATTGATTGACATTTTGTTAAATATTCATTTCATTTGCTTGTTGTTATAGTTAGAAAAATAACAAAATGAAAATAATTAAAAAAATAAACGTATGATAAACCGATTGATGAAATTATGATATAGCCCTATAGGCATATTAGATTTTGCATTTTTGCAACTCCATTGACGCTCCAGGACCATATATCTGTTCTAAATAAAGCACGACCGAAGTGAGGGGGCAACCGAAACGAAGCGCGACCAAAATGATCTGTATTTGGCTTAGTACTATCAAGGCCTAGGCCTCTAGAAACTACTGACTGTACTGTAGCCTAAGCTTAGGCTATTAGCTAGCCTAGCCCAAGTACACTAGCCAACAATAGGCACTAGCCTAGGCCTACATAGTAATTAATTTTGTATGCATTAGGATAGGGCCTAGGCCTAAATTGTCCATTGTTATTTGCTCAGTACTGTAAGTAGCTAGGCCTACCCGGTACATTGGCTTATTATTAATAATAATAATATAGGCCTAGGTAGGCCTATTCGCCTAGGCTAGGCTAGGGCTAGTTCCTAACTAGCTAGGTAGGCCTGGCCCTAGGCCTACCTAGTCTATATTGACAAAAAGGACCAAAGGTGGAGTACAGCTTTGAAAGCTTTGTTGAGTAGGCCAGACAATAGGCCTAGACCTAGTCTACTACTAACTAGCCTAGGCTAGGGCCTAGGCCTAGCCTAACTATGCCTAGCTAGGCAAGCCTATTTGAATGAGTGAAAAGCCAAATTCTCGGCCTAATGTTACTAAAATATCCCAATCAAAGTAAACATAAGTACCTCATGGACCGAGTATCCCTTCCCCCGTGACTGTGTTGTTGGTTGAATTCAGGATTCATGATAATTATACTTCACTTTACTTCATCACATTTAAAAACACAACAATTATTCCGCCCTTTCTAATTCTATCTTCTGTGCAACACATTACCAAATGGGAGAGTTTGCGGCCTCCGCGCTGCTGGTGCGGTCGGGTGGTAGGTAGAAGGTTGGCGAGAACAAAACTGAAGCCGGTCACCAGGAACGATGAGGGCGCTATTTCATTTAAAGCCCCCAGAGCCCTAGAGAGTAAAGCCCCATCTACGTTTAATAATTTTTGGCCATTAATATACAGGGTGAGGGTTTTACGCAATTTGCATAGGTTTCACGTAGACCCTCTGTGTGGTCATATGCCTAGATTTAAGCCTAATATTTTTTTTTTAATACCGTATAATATATACACTGAACCAATTCTTTATTTACCTATACAGTTTTATATAATTAGCATGGTGATTGTGTTTGATTTTATGTATTATTTAAACTGTATCCATTAGCATTTTTTTTTTTTTGACTTAAGCAAATCGAAACATGCAAGTTCTGAACGATTTTTTTTTTAATAAAAAAAGCAACTCTGCAACCAATGGTAAACCAGAGGAGAACCCTTACTTACTGACCACTTCATGTCTTTACTTGTTTCATATAATGGGCATGGGTTATTGTGTTTGGTTTATAACTTTATCAATCGGCACTTTTTTATTTTACTTGAGCAAATCGAGCGCATGTTCTGAGCGAATTTTATAGGAAAAGGATCTCTGCAGTCAGCAGTTAACCAGAGCTGGAGAACCCTTAACGCTCCTAATTCCTAATTTCTAATTTGCAATTTGAAATAATTTGTATACATGCATGTACCCAGGTGTGATTTCTGGCATTTCTTTCCCTCATCATAGTGTGTTTATGGCTACGTTCAGACTTGGATATAAGCCAGGCTTGAGAAAAGCAATAACATAAGACGGACGTGTTTTTTGATCGACTACAAGTAGATAATCATGCCTAAAAGTAAAGGATTACATATTCTGAATAAGAGAACCTCGAGAAAATCAAAACAGACGCTTTATAAGGGTTTGCAGTAAGTAAATTTGAATTTGTTTGACACTGTACGAAA